ATTTTAATAAATGATTTGTTCTCATTTCAGCATCAATCCCTTATGGTCACCTGGATAGCCCCTTCATGAGAAGTAAATTAAGTTGTTTGAAAAACACATTCAGCAAGCCATGTTTTTCCATGGACTGATGCATAGGAAAGAGAAAATGTACATGCCAGGCTGTTGGCTGGCTAGAGTTCATGGCATTTGGACTTATGAAATGGATGTTAATGATTTTGCAATTTTTAACTTGGTTTGCTCTTGAAAGATTTTTTCCCCTTGTGAATTAATGTCTGTCTTCTCTTGATTAATTTGCTGATAGTACTGTGAGTCAATGAATTGTATTTCTTTCCTAAGTAAAAAATCATTCATTATGATAAAGGTAGTAGTTTTGATTTCTTACAAAAACAGTCCCCAAGTATCTGGAGTACAGATCTTGTGAAGTTAGTAGGAAAAACTCTTTATCCTTTGGCTGCACCAAAGTTGGAGAAGCCTTGCTTGCAATGGATCTCACTGGGAGTCTTATACTGTAACTCCTCAGGCAGAGCCATTTGTGGTACATTTGTTGTCCCAAACCAAAGTCTTGATCTAGTTAAAGCACAACATGCAAAAAAAAAAAAAAAAAAAAAAGTCCTGTAATTTATTTGTTCCAGGACACAATAGTAGAGGGGAAAATTTTCAAAATACATAACATTTTTCCCAAGAGAGAGAAAATACAATATTGTAAGGCGATCACTTGTTTTAGAGTTAGAAATCCTAGATTTTCTTACATTGCATCAGTGGTTTAACCTATTAAATAGGCAAAATAGACATGTTTTCTTCAGGCTTAAAATTGGTACAAGAATCATGTGATCTTTAAAAGAGTACACCCTTAGGTGCTCTGTATGATTGTAAGTATTTTTCTGGGTAAGAGTTTTTAAGTGATGAGCTGTGAAGATTCCCTTGCTCTTTTAAAAAATCAGTTTGTTGGAACAATTTAAGGTCATCCCTAGCTCATCCCACTGATTGTGCTTATTATCCAACTATAGACAGAAGTTGCATCCTTGCAGATTTCAAGCTCATTGTCTATTAAGTAGGCATGATATTTTGCTTTTCAAATTGTCACTGTTCTCTTGAATGCACACTTTCACAGGAGTTAAAAAATAATAATAATGCAGAAGTTCCAAATTCCTGGAAAAGCAATGCTTACCCAATGATTTAAGGCTTCAAATCTGAAGTCAGCACATCCAGAATCCCAAGTGAGTTCTTTTATTATTACCTGTAGCTCCTTGGGCAAATCACTTCAACATGCTAAGTTTCAATTTTGAAATCTACAAAAGGTGGTTAGTAAAGGAATCTAACTTGCTTCTGTGTTGAAAGGATTTTTAATACAGTGTGAAGGACCTATTGTAACCCCTGCCTAATATCTTGTACAAGGAATGGCAATTCTGTCTTTGTATAACTCTACTTTTAAAAGTCTGGTAGAGTATGACTTTTCAGAAATTTTCAGTAATCTCAACTATCAGAGTTTTCTAAAATCCACTTCAACCCTGACCCATCAGCAATGGTCAAGAAGAAGCTGGTGGCATGACCCTTGTGGTTCTCACTGTAGGATGCCAGAGACTATATCTCTGTTTTCCATTTGTTGTATGCACCAAGCTCTTATCAGATGATCACCAGCTGCATCAAAATGGGACAGGAAAAGTGTATTCTTCTTCCTTAGATGCTTGAATATTTCTGGCATTGTACCTGGTATTTTGCAAACCTTTTTGTCCTAATAACCACTCTGAAAAGCCAACAGTGACACAATTTTCAAATAGAGCAGGTGAAAATATAAAGAAGTTAAGTAATTTTCCAAAGTCAAGCTGGTAGGTGGCAAAGTTCGTATTCAAATTCAGAACTCTTTTCTGCAGCCTTGCTCAATTTAACTTTAGACTGTGCATCTGAAAACAACCAATTTCTTAAAGATCTGGGTTATTGAGAGACACCTGTCTTTGAAAGAACATTTGAGCAAGCATTGGTTCTGATTTTATCTGGGAGGTAGGATTTCAAATGAAATTTTTTTTTCTTCATACTTTTTTAGTATTTTTTTTTCATTTCTTGTCCCATGAATATGCATCCACATTTAGAAAGTAACATTTTTTAATTGACTAGTTCATAGTGAAATTTTACCTCATTTCAGGTGATTCATGGGAACAGAAAAAAAGCTTTCCCTCAACTGAGGCTGGTTTTCAGCCTGACTGACTATCAAGCTGGACCCATAACTATTGTTCATGCAAATAGAGTTCTGTTTTTAGAAAGGGTGCCTCATTATAAAAACAATGTGCCTTGTCTGTCCCCGTGCTCTGAAAATAAAAGTGAAGGGACAATAGAAAGCCCTGAAGCAAACACTTGTTTTGTCTTCAAACTTTGAAAGCTCCCTTGGCAAACTTTAACAGTGGTTTCCTTTCCTTTTCTGAGTTGACAGAGGTTGACTTGCAATTATACACCCAGAGATCTCTAGTCCCAAAGAATTGTGGGCTCTGTGAAAGCAGATGGCAAAATTCTCTCTCTAGCTTTCTTTTCTTTCGGACAGAGTTCTTTGTGAGATGTCTCCAGCACCCTCCTTCCAAGGAACTGCCCATTTCCAAATTTAGCCATTGGAGAAGAGTAAAAAGACAATTTAGAGACAGAAAATCTGAGTCCTGGCTTTGTCACTAATTAGTGGAGCCTCTGGTTATACGCGATAATCTTTCTGAACGCCCAATGCTTCATCATCCTTATGTTATTCTTTTAACAGGTACTTATCAAATTCACATTATATGCCTATTATTTTCTAAATGTTGGGAATGCAATAATGAAATCACAGTATAGTTGCATATCTTTCTTTAAAGGCCGCAGTGTAACTGTTTGACTCAGGCTTGACTGGTGGGATAGGCAATCCTGAGATAAATATTTAAACTGAGGAACCCATACATCTACAAAGAATCACACATCCTCGGAAGAGAACATTCCTATAATAATATTTGAAGGAGGAGAGTCATTTGGGATAACTTCCTTGAGAAAGAAATGCTTAGCTCTGTTCGCAAGAAAATGAAGGTCAGGAAGGTGTTTGTGGTTAAGTGTGTGATAGAGAAGAACATTCACCATAGAAGGAAAAGGATGTGAAAATTCCCTGTGGCAGGAGATAGAATGGTTCCTGGAAGGAACTGCCTATGGCCAAGAGCTGATGCAGGAGGAAGGGTGTGTAGGTAAGGATGACCAGGTGAGAAGGAAGGAACAGCAATGCTTATTGTTTTTTTCAACTGGGCAAGCTCTATGAATAATGTCACATAAGCTGGGGCAATCCACAATCAAGAACAATTATCTAGAATTTCTTTTCCTCTACTTTGATGAATATAGAGACATTATTTGGCATAGCCAAACCCCCAAGCTAAGTGGCCTGGCAGCTATTTGGAGAACTATTGTCCAGAAGAGTTAGGGACCTATGAGAGAATTTGTATAAATAAATATAAAAAATTGTTTTGTAGGGCCAGAGATGATTTGGGATTTTTTATTATTATAGCTTAGCATAGCCTAACTTGGATATTATGATGGTGTCAAACTACAGAGGCCATTAGAGAGCAAACTAATAATTTGGATCTTTCTTCTGAGATCAATGAAACAGAATTGAACTGTATTTTTAAAAAGCAGATTTTCCAGATGGTTTTTATTTGAGGGAAAAAAAAATCATCCTTTGCTAAATCCTTCCATGAACAATGAAGAAATGATGAAGTGAAGAGAATTTTGATAACTATCAATTAATAATCATGCAGGAATATTAAAAAGAGATCAAATGGAAAAAAATAAATCTAGCATTTTCCATAATGCAAACCATCACAGAAATATCTTGGTTTTTGGTTCTTTTTTTTTTAACATAACTCTATGGTTTTGGTTGTTATTTTCCCTTTGTCCTAGACACTAGTACATTTGATAAATTTGCTATTCTCTGTGTAGTTGTAATCCATATACCAAAAAGTAATTCTGTGAAATTGGCTAGGCCATTCTGCTCTGCAGTCAATAGCAATTTGGTATATATGGATTTGAGAGGGTGGAAAATTGCTTAATGGGAAAATCCTCAAATGTTTTAGAATCAACTTTTCAATCTGCTCCCTCTTTGAGATGCCAATATGTGTTACCTTAACTCAAATCAAGAGTAAGATGTTCTCCTTTCTTTGTCTTTTGCTAATCCCTGGAAGTTTGGATTGAAAAACAAAATTGGTACCAGACTGAGAAACGCAACCAAATATTAGAAAAGAAATTTTTTATGTTATATTGTTTTCAAGAAGAGTTTATGAAGCAAAGTATCTTTTTTTTCTAGACAGGGGATTACGTAATAATTCTAATTACCATGTTTGGGCATATTTGTTTCTACCACAAAGAAAAGCAACTCCTTACAGTTTACAAGTCCCTGTTAGTATGGTTTTGAATTACTAAGGTATTTTCAAAGTAATTTATCTTGTAATTATTTCAGTTTAATTTTTAAAATAACAACATACATTGTCCCAAATGAGTTGGGCACCATATTGAGTATTCTATATACATTATTGCAATACCTCCTTCTAACCTTAGGAAAAAGAGATTCTCAGCCACATTATATAGAAGAAATTAAGACTCAAAGAGGTTTCTTGAGGTCTGCAAGGTTATATCTTATATGCTTTGCAGATTTCTAAGAATAGTAGCCTTTTCTTTAAATTATTTGACAATAGTAACATTTATTCATGGAGTTTTTTGAGGAAATTACTTTCTTCAGAACACATATTAGAAATGCTCTCCTGCATCTCGTTGGCCTCCTGACTTCTCTTTGACACCCTGGAGCCATGCCATGAAAGGGAGTAATAGTGTGGCACTTTCTAGAGGAATAGGGATCTTTTAAAAATATCTACACCTTTACATCAATTGGGAGTTGGATTGCAGCAAGAGAAACTGTCTGTAGCCAAATTATATTAACAACAGTACTGAAATAATCTGGAGAGTGTACAGTATGAGTGAAGAGATTGGAGAATAAAATTTGGTACCTGTCCCCTGGGCTAGTGCAGATCTGGTCGGAGAGAATACAGCGCCACTGTGATGATGAACTCCTGGTCCTAAAAACTCCCTGCACTGATCCAAGGCTGTCCCAGGTCCTCAGGAATTGAGTTTGCCTGTGTTTATCACTAGAAAGACAAAACACCCCCTTGAGTCTGTGACTGTAGGACCGGTTCATCAATTGATAGGTTAGCTGTATTTAATTCACAGTTACAAAAGAGACTTCAGAAAACAACTGTGTGGCCTCTTTACCTTTCATAAGGTAGAAGGCAGTTTTTGTCTCATAGGTAACACTGTTCAAAATATGGTCAGATAAATTGATGTTGACAAACACATCATTTTTCTCATATTGCTTTATATAGTTTTCCAACCCAAGTCACACACTTGTGATGCCTTGATGTTTATGATTCAGATGTAAGGTGTCCCCCAAAAGCTCACATGTGAGACAATGCAAGAAAGTTTGGAGAAAAAATGATTGGGTGATAGCCTTGAACTAATCAGTGAATTAATTCCTGATGGAATTAATTGAGTGGTAACTGGAGGCAGGTGGGGTGTGGCTGGAGGAAGTAGTTCATTGGGGGCATGGCTCTGGGGTATATATATTTTGTATCTGGAGCGTGGAGACTCTCTGCTCTCTGATCACCACAAGAGCTGCTGCTTTTTACCACACTCTCCCACCATGATGTTCTGCTTCACCTTGAGCCCTGAGAAATGGAGCGGGCCTTCTACGGACTAAGACCTCTGAAAAAGTGAGCCCTCAAATAAGCTTTTCCTCCTAAAATTGTTCTGGTCAGATATTTTAGTCACAGCAGTGAAAAAACTGACTAAAACACTCGATGAACCTTCCTTGACCTCATAATTTGTATGCCAGAATGTAGCTTAAAGGAGGGCAGTGTTTAGATCAGGATCTAGAACATGATATATACCCAGTAAACATTTGATATATAAGTGAGTCTCCATAGACTTCAAACACATAGTGAGGGCTATAAGAGTTTGGATATAAAGGCAAATATTTTTATTTATAGTCTTTTGACTTTTGACTTTTTTTTTATGACTGGTAGTCAGCTTTTCATCACTATAAAAAATCCCTGGGAAAATTAACTTATAGGGAGCATGGTTTTACTTTGACCTAAAGTTTCAGAGTTTCATGCCATGGTTGCTTTGGGCCTGTGGCCAGCACTGCCTCATGATGAGAACATGTGGCAAAGAAGTTTGCTCACCTCATGGCAGTTGGGGAAATGGGAAAGACAGGAAGGGACCAGGATTCCAGTATTCCTTTTACCAGCGCACCCCTAGACACCCAACTTCCTTCCATTAGGCTCCACTTTAGAGGTTTCACCACCTCACAATAGCGCCACCAGCTGGTGCCCAGACCTTTAACATGGACCTTTAAGGCATATTCAAGATCCAAACTGTAGCAATGTTCTCATATAAACACAATTATACTGGTGTTCCCCCCCACCACCACTAATTACAAAAGAGTTAAAAATTGCAATACATTTTAGACACATAGAAATACACTAGCATTCTCAGATGAGCTTGTAGGAGTAGCAGGATTTCTTACTATTTGTTGCTAATTGAATTCAATACAAAAGAATGAATCAATTGTTGAATCACCAGATTAAAGTGGTTTAGTTCATCAGATAGGGGAGAAAGCAAAGAAAGGCCTGCGCTTCCATGATAATTAACAGAGTGCTGGGAGCCATTAGCCAAGTAGGTATAATTTATTAAAGCTGTGTGCAAAACATTGAATTTTACATTTATTGGGTGGCTACATTTTAGGAAAGGTAGACTTCTTCCTAGAAGACTCAGATGGACATTCTTATCTCCATATACCTACAAAATAAACATATATTTGTTTCTCAAAAACAAATTCTCAATTTTAGAGCTTTAAAATATCCCTAAGTTATTTCTGGAAGCCTCAAAAGAAGGTTATCTATAAATAATAAATTTACAATAAAAAGTGTTGTATTCTGAATTAGTTACCTAAGAGATAAAATTAAGACTCTGATTTTGAATGACACAACAGAAAGAATTACCATGTGAGGGATAAAAAAATGAATCAGTGGTCTAGACAGAGGTTCAGAAAACCCAAATCCTAGATTATCAGCTCTCATTTAGTAAATAAAAAACCCCAGAAGTAAAACATCTGGCTGTTTGTGACCTTAAGAACTTCAAAGCTCAGGAAGTGGTTTAGTTCATCAGATAGGGTGAAGCTAAGCTCTTGCTAACAATTCATCAATTCCCCTCCAGAAGCTGTCTCCCTAGTTTTGCGCTGGCTTTTCTGAATCACATCTGAGTACCCAATGATTTCCTAGGGAGAAAGAAATAACTATTTCCAAATTTGGCCTGGAGTAATGGTGTGGATGAATTAGTATCACTTCATTTATTTTTCATTTTCATTCTTGTTTGGTCCAACGTATACTGAGTTTTATTTTTCCTTATAATAAAAAATGAATTTTATGTGCTCTTTATAGTGTGGGAGCTGGGGTTTATGGGCATGACTTCATTTAATACATGTGGGTCATTGTTATTATTTTTGCTACAGTCAAGGAAACATGCCTAGTCAATTTATGTGACACACCATCAAACTCAAAAAGTAGGTATTAAAATATCTGGCTCTTGCTGACCAATCTGTGCTGTTCCACTATAATGCTCATAACAATAATAATAATACTTATTATTTATTGAATGAGTACTAGCTAGCTAGTGAGTCAGATATTGTAGTAACTAAAGGTTGAGAATTAAGAATGGCAGTGAATGGTTAGGAAGACTGATCGCTAGCATGGCCAGTGAGCTGTTTTCTCACTTTCACTACTCAACAATTCCTATCCACTCTTACTGGCTCAGAGGAGATAAAATGACTCTATTTTGAAGAATTTGTCGTCTTCTTCATGTTTATCTTTACTATGTATCATAATTAAGTTTAATTTATTATGTATTAAATTTTAAACTCCTCAAACTATCAGCTTCCTAGAAGTTAAAGGACTGTTATCTTATTGTCTCAGGAAGAGGCAAACCATATGACTTCTTGGGTACAGAGTACCTGATAGATGATCAGGAACTCAGTTGTCCTATGAACAGAGATTCTACTATTTGGGTTCCTGGCACTGGAGTGCAGTTGCATATTCCAGTCATTTCACCAATCACAACTGACCAACTTCTGGACTGAAAATAACCATCAGTACCAACTCTCTCCAATATTTTTTATCCAACTTTGAAAGTTTGAATAGCTCCTAATACTCTTTACCATTCTATAGTCAATCTATCAGTTACTCTCTCAGACTATAAGAAATAAGTCCACTGCATTTATTAATGAATTTATCCATTAATCCTTCAAATCTACACAGGAGTTAGCTTATTTGTTTCAATGAGAATTCATATTCAACCTTAGAATCAGTCATCCTCCATGCCCTTGATTGTATTCCTAAACAGTCAGCATTATCAATGCATGAACTTCCTCAACACAATTTTACCTCAGACTGAGCCACAGTGTTAATGAAAAAAAAAAAAAAAAACAGAATTGAGTTGATGGCACTTGGCAGATTGAGAGTGAGTGATCTCCCCTTTTTAAAATTGACATATGTATATACACACACTATTAGATATTAGCTCAGTTCTTAGTAAAATAGTCAAGATTAGGTTACAGTCATATTATTTCTAATGATTAATAGTCCTTAAAAATGGACACACTGCTTATAATTCAGTGATCTCTCATCACCTTGGGAGATAGTATATCAAACCCTTCTGTGGTGGAGATGTTTTATATACCCCTGGGAAGACTCTTTGCATTTCCTCAGATGAACTGCTTTTGCATGAACACAGGGATGGTGAGATTACCCTTGGCTGACTCATTAAGGTTGAATAGCAATGGAGTGGAAATGGTAGTGGACCTGCATGATCATCATAATTATCGGGATGATTAGTGAGCCTGCCTTATTTCCTGAAACCCGGGGTCTTATCAACAGTTGGGTTCATCTTAAACTTAATTTAAACTTGTTGTGGACTTGTAATACAAGTAGCTTTTTTGAAAAGTGCAACATTGTAACCCAGAAGTTCATGTCCCATGCCAGTGGATAGATATGTAACTTACACCCACCTTGTTCTAAAGCTGAGAAATGTACTAAGGTTTAAACAAAATTGGTGTGCTTTTAAATTTTTTTTTAGTTGTAGGTGGATACAATATCTTTATTTTATTTTATGTGATGCTGAGGATGGAACCCAGGGCCTCACACATACCAGGAGAGTGCTCTACCGTAGAGCCACAATCCCAACCCCCATGGTGTGCTTTTTTGAAAATGGATATTTCCTTTGATATCTCAAGAACAAAGAAACAGTGGATATGGTTTCATCTATATTTATGTGTGTGCATATAGATATAGGCAAATGCATAGGAACACCGGTATATTTGTATTAGAGCTTGCATATTAGTTAAGATTTTGAGACATTGGCTAAAGCATATTACAACATGATTTCTACTAAATTCTAGTTTAATCTATCTGGAATTCATTTTGGTAATTGTTATAACACAAGAATCTCACTGTTTTATTTTGCTAATAACCAGAAAATTAATCAAAAACCACTAGAAAATTCATCTTTCCTTTGGTGATCTAAAATGTCACCTTTCTATTAATTTAAACCAGCACTTATTTGAATCTAAATTTGCTATTTTGTTTCATTAATCAACCTGTCTACTCTTGTTCTAGTGCCACATTATTTTAATTCTTGCAGTTTCAAGCCCAGTTGATACTGAATAAATTACTTCATATGTTAAAATAAGATTTTAAATTTCTTCCTTAGTCCAGATCCTTATCCAGATGATGGGAGGTCAGATAGGAATATGATGAAGGGCATGCTCTGTTCACAGCTGCTCCAACACCTACCAGATATAGCAATCTCACCTCTCAGAAGACTTTCCCCTGCTGCAGTCTACATGTGTGCAGACATCTTTTCATGGTGCACAGACATTTTAAGCCTCGGCAAGAACTTTCCTTTAGTTTATTATTTGTTGAGAACAAAAGGGGAAAGAGTAGTCAAATCCTCTGCAAAACTGTCACTTTTTAATTTTGTTTGAAACATAAAAGAGATGTGACAGTGGGTGAGTGGGTGGCAACTGTGTTTCCTCTGACTCACTCCTCCCTGTGTGACCTTGCTTCAAGCCCCTCACCTCCAGGAGCCTGCTTTCTCCATAATGTCAGGACAAGAGTAGTCCTTTGAACATATTCAAAAACCATGTTCACCATTTTACCTGTGTGACCTTAGGAAAGTTATTTAACCTCTCTCGGGCTTAATTTCTACATCTTTAAAATGTTTCATGTATTTATTCAACAAGTAGTTATTGAGTAACTCCCATGGATCGTCATCAAGTTTAGAGCTCTGTATGGTTCTGTGCTTTTCCAAAAAAAGGCACATAGAAAAGGTAGTTATCAGCAGAATTATTATAATGTTATTACTACTCTCATGCACCTTTGGAATCTTAAAGATGTCACAGATAAGAAAAGTACAAATGATAGGCAGGCTCCCAATGTTGGAGACCTGAAAGGCGAGAGATTGGTGGTGATGAGCTTTTTGATAGAGAAGGAAGTCGGAAAGTCAATACTGAAACATTTAGTTTTTCAGGTATTACATGCATTTTCTGCTTTAAGCAAACCCATTGTAGAATTCACTTCACAAGGATACAGTTTTAACCTATTTCAGTATGTGTCTCTTTATGTATGTTATTAAAAACTGTAGTGATTTGATGTGGGAGGAAGAGAGAATATGAAGCTTAAGGACAGAAAGTCACTGTACCTGAATTTAGAGAACAAGGAGCAGATATTCATGACATGTTTAAGAGGGGTCATTTTTTGACCTAAACCTTTATATTTTGAATCCTTTATAAAACTTTTCCAAAAATGCAAATTGTTTAAAAGGAAAAAAAAGATGAAGAAAGAAGGAAAGAAAAAGAGAAAAGCAGAGTGCATATTTATTTGCCAGTGTTGAGCCAGACTGATTAGGGTTCCAGAGCAGGTCTCAGATCCTGGATTAGTCTGCCCTGTTGATAGAGGATCGGGACTTGGCATCTCTGCACCGCTTTGTCAAGGAGTCTTCAAATCACAGTTCCCTGAGCCTTGGGACACTAGAAAATGCAGTCAAGCTGCATGATCTGCTTGTGGAATGAAAAATAAACCCTTGGCCAAAGGCACAGGTTTGACTCCCAACTAGCCCCACCCAAGCTCTGTTGCAGGCTGTCAGCTTTGATTAGCTTTTCTGACTCTGAGATTCGTCAGCTCAGTGGACTGTTCAGCTTCTGCTCCCTCCTTGCTGCTGCCTTAGTTGGTTCCCTGAACTGTCTGATGAGCTGTCACAGCTGGCTGATCAGACTGCAGCCCAATCCTCTTTCCTCCCACCCAGACCCCAGACTGACCTTGTTCTGTCTTTGCCTTCCCCATCCCTCACATCCTCCTGCAGCTGAATCTCCTACCCCTGCTGACTGATCCCACTGTTGTCGAATCTGCCCGAAGGACAGTTTGATTAGTTGCTCCTTCCTCCCAACCTGTCAGCCCTGCCTGCTGCTACCAGCTGTACTCAGCCTGCTAGCAGCTCATCATCAATTCCTTCTTTTTTTTTTTTTTTTTTTTTTTTTAAATATTTATTTATTTATTTTTTTAGTTCTCGGCGGACACAACATCTCTGTTTGTATGTGGTGCTGAGGATCGAACCTGGGCCGCACGCATGCCAGGCGAGCGCGCTACCGCTTGAGCCACATCCCCAGCCCCCATCAATTCCTTCTGACCCTGCCATTAGCACTGCTGGCTGATCGAATGAAAACTTTTTCTCTGCAACTCTCTGATCTCCTGCTATCTACCTCCATTATGGTTCTCTGATTAGATCAGCCTCCTGACTTTTTTTTTTTTTTTTGTCACCTACTGTATTCTCTTGCTTTTAATTAAACCATTCTGGTGGCAGCCACTTTTGCATAGTCTTTGAGGTTGGGGTCACCTAAATGGCTACCTTTGGCAAGTGATACCATTTCAATGCAGTATAAGTTCAAATGCTCACTTCATATCTTCCCCCAAATGCCAACAGTTGGTGTTGCTATCTGACATTTTATGTGTAATGAGATGTATCAATGTTATCAGTGCTTCTCACACTTCATGGGACAGCCTGACTTATAACACATTGCTACTGGGATTTGGAGTATTTCCTGAGAATCATCTTTCCCCTGACTTGTCCTCTCAGTAATACATAATTCTTTATGTAGTTACAAGACCAGAGTGAGAGACCATTTGGATTCAAAAACCGTACATTCACCATTTACCTGTGTAAGCCTCTCTCAGGCTTAATTTTTATACCTCTGAAATATTTCACTTATTTATTCAAGTAGTTATTGAGTAACTACTCCCATGGATAGTCATCAAGTTTAGCGCTCCATTATAGTTCTATAAACAAGACATTTGAGCTTCCTGAATAACTAGATTTTGCATTCAATGATGAAAACATTAAACTTGTAAACAAGCAAATAAGAAAAACTCCCAAAGTGGGAAGTGCAAGATATAAAAAAAAAAGAGAAATGGAATAGCAAAGGCCAGGGAGTCCAAGAGAGAAGTGAGATGGTATAGCTGGAAAAAGACTCTTAGAAGACAATATCTGAACTGGCACCCAAGGATAGGATCAAGGCAACCATGTGGAGATCTAGGGCCTGAAAGTACAAGACAGATGTAACAACAAATACAAAGACTGCTGCAAAGCTGGGCATGTCACGAGGAAGGCTGGTATATCTGGAACAGCAGAGATTACTCTGAACTACAAACACAAAGGCAGAGGCCTGATTATGTGAGGTCAGACATAGTAGGAGAAGGGGGGCTGGGTTGTATTCTAATTGGGATGGATAGTTATTAGGGATTCAATCTAAATCATCACTGTTTAATAGAAATTCCCATGGTGATTAGATATATAATACCTGTGCTGATCCACTAGCTGCATGTGCCCACTGGGCATTCAAAATGGACCTAGTGTGATTGGGAAACTGGATAATTTATTATTTCTAACTTTAATAATATTAAATTTTACTTAAATTTGAAGAGTTTAATAAAACTTTTAAATTTCAAAAATTTAATTTAATCAATGAAAATTTCAATTTGATACACTAATTAATTTATATTGTTTATTCAAGATTAGTTTAATAATTTAATTTAAATGCAAATTGCCTTCTGTGACTTCAGATAAGGAGGGTTCTGCAGAGTGGAGAATTGCTTTAGAGAGAGCGTTATTCAAAATGCACCTCATATCTCTCTTGGTCCGTGGTGAGTCCACCTCAACTGAGCAATGAAACCAAGAGAGGATCTGAGCCCCCCACCCTCCATTTTTAATGAAGTAATCGAAACCCTCCTATTGCTACTTTACATATTGGGTCTTTCAAAAAATTACATTTGGAAATCACTTGATACTAGATTAAAAACAGCATTGAAGTCAGAGCAATATAGATTTAAATAATTCTTTGATCACTTCTTAATTTATAGAGTGTATTCAAGACACTGCCCTCTAGTTTCCTCATCTGTAAAAGGGGATAGAAATACTACTACTACTATTTTTAGAAGTCACTTGTGTTGACTAGAAGGGATAATTCAGGCAGTGTTTAACAGAGTGTTTGGCCTATAGCATGTACTCCAAAAATATTAACCAATATAATCACTGTTATTTGAAGACTGACTGATCCAAGGGGTTGTGAACCTACTCAGAAAATGTGGCATTCAGCCAGCTTGATAATCTGAGTATTTCTAAAACCTTGCTCATACTCTATTCAAGGTCACACAACTATAAAAGGTGTGAACTGAGACTTGATTCTAGATGAACATGATTCTAGAGTTATTGATATTGACCACTTGGCCTTCATCTGAGTTCTGTTAAATTATTCTATAAACATATTATTCAAATTATAAATATTTAATAAGTGTACAAGGCAAAAGAAGCATTGTCAGTGATAATTATGAGATGATATCATAATGGAAGTCTATTGGCACTTTAATGATTTATACTTCTAAACTGTTAAAACAACAACAACAACAACTACTACTACTACTACTACTACTACTCTCATGGGCACTGTGGTACATACCTGCAATCCCAGCATCTCAGAAGGCTAAGGCGGGAGGATCATGAGTTCAAAGCCAGCCTCAGCAATTTAGTAAGGCCCCAAAGCAATGTAGCAAGACGCTGTCTGTAAAATATATAAAAAAAAAAAAAAGGCTAGGGATGTGGTTCAGTGGTTAAATGTCCCTGGATTCAATCCCTGGTACAAAACAATAAAAAGAAAAACAATAATAAAGAAAGAAAAAACTGATCTATCTGTACTTTATAATGAAACTTAGTTCAAAAATTCTCAGCAGGGGCTATGACATGTGAGATATGGGGCTCTTTAGACAATCTTACATTTATCTCTTATTAAGAATCCCTGCTGTTCTTGTTGATTAGATAGACAGCTTCCAGGAGCACTGATTCATTAAATTAAAACTATCATATAGATACTATAATTATTTCTATTTTATGCTAAATGAAACTAATATTTTAAAGGATTAAGTAACCCATTTAAGGTCATATAACTAAGAGGTGGTTGAGCTAGGATTTAGACCCAATGACAGTCTGGTAGAAGGTTATGGTTGGGATATGAAATATCCCCTGAAAAGCTCATGTATTGGAAAGATCTCCAGTGTAGCAAAGTCAGAAATGAAAAGACTGGTTATGAGAGCTATAATCTCATTAGTAGACTAAAGCATTTGATGGATTTAATAATTTGAATGGACTATGAGGTGATAAATATAGGCAGGTTGGGCATTGACTGGAGGAAGTATGTCACTGAGGTCATTCCTCCAGGGAATATATATTGTCCCTGGATCCTCTGTTTCTCTCTGTTTCCTCATTGCCAGGAGTTGAGCAGCCTTGCTCCACCATACCCTTTCACCATGATGTTCTGCCTCATCTTGGGCCCAGACAATGGAGTTGGCTGACCATTGACTGAACCATCAAAATTGTGAGCCAAATAAATTTGTCCTCCTTAAGTTGTTCTGGTCATGTTTTTGGTCAGAGTGATGAAAAGCTGACTAGCAAAGAGAACAGCCCTGCCATGAGAAGACCATATCTTACTAAAAAATGGGAACATGTATTGTTATAACCTGATAGGTAGTTTGAATGATTAAATCGAATTATACAGTAAAACTTTTTCAATTTGTATAAATTAAAATTTCAATTTGCATAGAAATTATCCTGTCAAAAAATAACTGGTTAATTGGGAAATAAAGCAGATTGCAGATCACAGAATTGATGTCTTATCTAAGGCTGATGAAATTGGCAAGTTATTCTGGTGTTCATTCATCCTGCAACCTGAGATTGCCCCAAAAAAGTGCCCATCATATTTCTTGTAAATGATTGGTAAAGAGTTGGTGGACTCATGAGAGAAGGTATCTGACTACCAACCTCAATTGCTAACACAAGTTATTGTAACTTTTGTAACTTAGACAGATGCGCCAAGACTGTTAACTAATAATTATAAAATATGCTACAATAATGCCAACAATTTCAGATTATATGATATTCAAAACCTCCCAGCTTTAGTTGGATTCTGCTAAGCCCTGACAATTTAAACCAAAGACTGCTTAACAGAAAAAGGAACTGATGATATTTCAAGGATAAAAACAAAAACTAACTACTTTAAACAAAGCATCGTTCCTTGATATTTTTAGTTAATGTTCATGAAAGCTTCTATGTGCCAAGCAGGGCTGTTATGTCCTTGATATCCTGATAAAGACAGATGAAGTTTCCTACCTTCTTAGGACTTGTGTAGGGCATGTTGTGATTTGGATCTGGAATGTCTCTTACGGGCTTATGTGCTGAGGAATTGGTCCCCAGAAGATAATGCTACTGGGAGGTGGTCAAAACTTTAGAAGGCAGAGATGAGTTGGAGAAGTAAGTCCCTGGGGCATGCCCTCAAAGGAGATATTGGAACTCCCAGCTCTTCTTTTCTGTTTGCTTCTCATATGCCATAAAGTGAGTAGCTTTGTTCCACATGTTCTCCCCACCATGATATTATACCTTTTCTCAGTTTCACAGGAATGGGCCAAGCAACTAAAAACCTTTGAAACTCTGAGTCTAAATTAATCTTTTCTTATCATGACTTTATTATCTAAAGTATTTTGTCACAGAGATGAAAAACTAACAGAGAAAATTGGTACCAAGAAGTGGGGTCATAGTCATGACTATATATGACAATATGGTTAAGAAGCCTTCAGAGTTGGTATGTGAAAAATTTTCATAACTTTTGAGAAGCAGGCTAGGAAAAGCTTAGATTGCTATAAGGGGAGTTAATGGGAAATTCTAGTGGGAGCTTAGAAGAACAGAATGCTAATTAATAGGAGTAAAGAGAGTAAAGTCTGTAAAAATGAGGTTTCAAATGGAAATGAGGACTCTATAGAAAATTCAATTAATGTTACAATCTGGAAAAGACCTTGTATACATTTTGTCCACGCCCTGAGACTTTGAAGGAAGTTGAGTTTTAACATGATAGATGAATTATCTAGTGCAGGGAATTTCAAGGCAGTCCAGAATCCAGACAGTGTCATGAGTGTTGTTGAATACCTTTAGCTAAATTTACAGTGATAAATGGGAGCAAAAAACAGATTGTAAAGATTTGAAAAACTTGCTCTTTGGCTGGAAAAGGAGTATATTTAAAGTTGAGGCCAGAGAGGATGTGATTGGAAAGAGATTACTGCCATTAGAAAGAAGCCAAGTATTTTGCACTGGGATAATAGGAAGATATATTGAGGAGATTTCACGAATGGGCAAAACCCTATGCATCATAGGCTCAAGGATGTAAATGTACAGCTCCATTTCAAAGACTTTGCTAGAGAAAAGAGTCCCCACACAACCTGCTTGCATAGGACTACCTCAGAACTGTTTCTCTGTGATTTGTTTCCCCATGTTCAGACATCCAGGCACTCAGAAGCTACCATAGGCATGACTGAATAGAGCCCTGCTACTGCTTCCCCTGAGAGCAAACGTTGGCATTACCAAAGGTTGTTTTGTGGGTATGTGGAATGCAAGGGTTACAAAGTAATGAAGACTTCCACCAAGATGTCAAAAGAAAGAGAAACTAGAGTGAGGATTATTGTATTAAACTTGCCTAAGAAAGAAGATGGTTTGGCCTAGAAGACAGGTGTAAAGGTTATAAAAAATGATCAAACCTGGAATATATTTTGAAAGAGAAGGCCATAGAACTCACTGATGGATAATATGTGGTTGTTAAAGGAAGAAGAATTTAAAAAGTGTTCACCAAGTGAGAAAGGGAAATGGAAACTTGTTGCAGAGGACTTTTCAAATATTTGCAGTGTTTGATACAGTGCATAGAGTCTAGCTCATAGTAAATTTCTAATAAGTGTTAGGTACAATTTATATTTTTATCATCATTACTCTACAAGCATGTATTAAATGCTAAATGGGTTGGTGTTTCAGGTAGTATTATCTATTGAATAATTAATATAAATATCAAAAACACAACTTTCTTTCTAATGTCTATGTGTTGGTTAGTAGCTCACTTTTTTTTTCTGTCTGGGTCTTTTGTCTTAATAATTTAGTTTTTGTACCAAAATTTACTTTATATATCATACCTGTTCCTTTTTTAAGCAACATACTACCCTAGGCTTGTTTCTAATTTATAATCTTTATTATTTCTGCTATGTTCAGATATTTTTATACTATGAGGATGTTTGAGTCTATCTGAAGTCCTCCTTCACTACATGTAATAGTGTTTCAATCAACTTGACATACCAATTATTTTATATTAATTATATAAAATATTATGTGCAATAAAAAGGAATAAAGTAGACTAACATGGACCAATGTTAGTAGATTTTCCAAATTAAATAAAATACAAGTTTCAAAGAAAATAGGAAAATTATGAATAAAATAAAAATAATTTACTTCTGTACCTACCAAAATAGGGGCTAGATCATTCTTTGAAAATCAACAGCCTTAAAATCTCAATAGATTGAAACAATATTTTTCCTTCTTGAGACTATCACAGAGGGATAGGGAGAGCCATACCACATTGTTCACAATAAAACACCCCTGCATTTGGGCACGGGATTAAGAAAATATTAATATTTTAACTAGATATTTCCATTCAGTTTGATACATAACAAGAAGTGCACACATTGTTCAGAAACTTGAAATTTAAAAAGATTTTTTTCTAAATATTTTGTGGAGATTCAATGTAAGAGTTACGCGACAGAACTTTCAAATTACGATTATTTTCCTTCTTTACCTTTATTTCTCTCTTAAAAATAGTAAATGTCATTTTAAGTGTAATTCAGTGCCTTAAAATTACAATGAAAGTTTTTAGGGACCTTGAGTGTGTTCCTTGTGAAGAGTTTTGCCTTCCCATTGAGTCCTTGGGGAAGGATGCTGAATGCTTGATGTTTCAACCAAGTGTCTCTCAGAAAGAAATGAGAACTTAAAAGAATTGTGTTTAAAGAAATCTAGCAAAATATTCCTCTATTCCACCTCAGCAACCAGAGGGCACTAATGTGGCTTATGCTCATGAGGCACAAGGAGGCTAGACATTCCACTTTAGTCCTTCCTGTCAGTCCAAGTTGAGGCATCTGGAAATTATGATGACCAAAGTCTTGGCAGAAATTACTGGATGCTCAGTGGCCTCTGAAAAACCACAGGAACATTTAGAGAGAAACAGTTCTGAAAGTTCCATTAGAATAGAATCTAAAAGAAAAGAGGCAGAAACAAGGTGTCACTTGGGTTTTGAATATTTATCCATTTTTAATTCCCTAAGCCATTCCAGGCAGATCCAGGCAGATCGGCAAAGGTGTGAAACCAATTCTTGTCCAGCATTTTTTGCCCCCTTGCCACATTTACTCTTATTGCATGCACACACATGTTGGTTCCACTTTTTTCTGTGAGAACTTTAAGAAAGAAGAAATAGGGGTTGGTGTAATAGCTAAGTGGTACAGCACTTGCCTAGCATGGGTGAGGCACTGGGTTTGATTCTCAGCACCGTGTACAAATAAATAAAAAAAATAGAAGTCCATCTACAACTAAAAAACTATTTTAAAAAAGAAAGGAGAAGTAATAACTGCACTGTTCTCTCTACTGTTCTCTCTAAACTTTCTTCTTCTATTCAAGAAATGATCTTCAGGTAATTATATATTGGTGAAA